GTCTCTTGGAAGAGAGACGAAACGTTTCATTAAAGAAGAACCCGTCCAGAGGACCTATACAATTTTTTTTCCTTTGATTATCTTTACAAGAATCTCCAACTCTACCAGAATGAAAGGCCAGGGAGTAAAAATGAGTTTTAAGCAGAGATTTAAAAAATCTCAACAGTGTCAGCAGTCTGAATGCTAAGAGGTAAACCATTCCAAAGGTTTGTGGCAGAAACTGAAAGGCCCGATCACCTCTAAACTTTAGATCTACGAGAAACTGGTTGGATGAGCGAAGTGCTCTAACTGAAGTGTGGATGTTAATGAGATCACACAGGTAAGATGGGGCCAGACCTTTAAAAGTAAGCAATAAAATCTTAAAATTWATCCTAAAATGAACAGGAAGCCAATGGAGAGAAGCTATACCGGGGATATGTGTTCGTATTTTTTAGTTCCTGTTAAAAAACGAGCTGCTGCGTTTTAGACAACTTGTAATCGACGCAGAGAAGATTTATCTAAACCAACGTACAAAGAATTACAATAATCCAAACRAGATGTAATGAGAGAGCATGAATAACTTTCTCAAGGTCTTTGTTTGGGAGGTATGGCTTCACCTTAGCAATAAGTCTTAGYTGGAAAAAACTCGATTTCACCACTGAGTTTATCTGCCTGTCCAATTTGAACACATGATCAAAAACCCAGATTTCTGACAGCAGAGCAGCTGTATGAATGTAGGTCACAAGACAGTCCAGCTTCAGGGCTGGTGTTCAGCAACGGAAGGAATTTTGTTGTTAAAATTGCTGAGGTGACGCCAGTGAGAACAGAGAAATACACAAAAGATTCTAAATGATAATCAAAAATACAAGATGGTCACCATAGCTTACTTTAAAAGACTATAAGYCAGCAATTTTTTATTTATTTATTTTTTACTTATTGGGATTAAATCTGTTGTGGAGTAGCTAAGAATGACCAAATGCAGATTGATGATGCTAATCCCAAAATAAACCAACCAATAAACCTAACACTAATTTTACAAAGGGCTATTTTTCAGCCATTCATAAACACACACAGCTGAAACTTTACATACTATAGCAGTATCAGAGAATAATATTTWACAAAATCTAAATGCAAAAACAAAACCCAAGTTCCCCACTCACACTAGCCACGCCTCTGGCTCCGCCCCTGTGYGTCTCATGACTATTTCCCAGAAGTTTCATTAAAATCTGTCCAGAGGTTCATGTTGACTCCAAATAATTAAAATATTTTTTGCTAATGTGAAAAACAAACATCTGTTTGAAGGACTAAAATCTTTGTAATATACTAAAATWCTTTCTTTTTACTCACAAATACTGACATAAACTCCTCATAAATAAGACTTTGTCTAATACAGCGGGTAAAATAAGTATTGAACACGTCAACATTGTTCTCAGTAAATATATCACTAGAGGTGCTAATG